TTGTAAAAGCATTTTGCTCTGCTGCTGTAGACAGCCTGTCTAAATGATGTCTTGAAGCCTGTCTGATTGTATGTGGGATTTTTTTCTTCATGTTGGCATGTTGAGCTTGTATTTTCGGTCTCTGGAGACACTCCAATAAATTCGCCTATACAGTCTTGTACCAAATTGGCCTTTGTTTTACTGTGTTTCATACACCGGGCCCCTTGGTTATCTTCTAGAAATGAGCTTGTAGTTAATTTATTTTCTTTATTTTCTGTGAAGTTAAACACATGACTAATGATAATTAAACGTCCGCTCGCTGTCCGTGGTGCTGAAATATGCTCCGAAATAGGTCCGATGTTTTCACTGTTCTCACCAAGTCGCGCATTACATGCAGACGTGAGGTATTATGAATGTGAGAAACAGCTTCATGTCCTTTGAAACAGTTTTCAATAGCATAGTATGTACTTCTGACAGGTCAAAGACCAAAGTGAAGTTTTATATAAGTTCATATTTTTGAAACTCCATCATCAGTAGCTCTGTGACGTCATGTCATATTGCCATACCTTAGCTTTTGCTGAAACGACGCCGCTGCCTGGAGGTCTGCACAGAAGACTCCTGGCTCTCCTGACGACCACTCATAATTTAATTCAAATGTAATTTTGGGGAAAATATCCATCTTCTTGGTTTAACGCTAGTGTCACTTTGCATCAATGTAGCGAGCGTGACAGTTGGTTAATTAACGGTTGTATTCATATTTATAACACCTATGAGCGGAGTGATTTTACTGTTACAAGTCCCAGTGATGTTATACTCTGTATCAGCGCTCATGGAATGCTTCTCGTCCAATCAAATTACTCGGTCGGAACTAACTATTGTATAATTAACTTTATGTCTTAGCCAAACAGAACACTTAAAATCAACACTGTTTTACTACATTTTGTAATTTGTAGACTACTTAAGTAGTCAAACATACGTCACATCAAAGTGTAGTGTGTGGCATATCTGATGTACATGAGTTATTACCTCATTACTAGCGTTACAGTTGGGAAAATATGATCAAATTTGCCGACATTTTACTTGTATATAAGAGTCTTCATGGCCTGGTACCCCCTCCACTCAATGAATTCATTAAACAAATTCAAAACTCATCTACCAGATCTACCTCCAGGGGGACTGTAAAATACCATACAGGAACAGTGCCTTTGGGTAGTCAGCCTTTTCCTATCAAGCAGCACACACCTGGAACACAGTACCCATAGAACTCAGGAACATCACATCTCTTAACTCATTCTCCAAATCAATAAAACAGTGGTTACTGGACAATCAAACCTGCTATTATGATCTGAATTAGTGGCTATGTCCTCATTTTCCATAATATATTTTAGGATTTAGGTGCTCTGTATAGTACGTTCTCTCACTGTCTTGCTAATCGTGCTCATGTGCTGTGGCTTTTGTTTATGTGATTTGCTTTGTGCATTTGTGTGTCTCTTTTTGGCTGTGTGTTTTGGTCTGTGTTATGTTTTACGTTCTACTTTTGTATAGTAAGTTTTTAATGTTTTTGTTATATGGTTAGGTTACTTTATTAATAGGCTTTAAATCTTGCTGTTTCTGCTATGTGCTTTGTTATGTGTATTTGTCTGTGGTTAATTAGCCTACTTGCTCTGAGCTTACAAGCTTTCTATGTGCCTTTCTATGGACATGCCATCAATTCACTTTTTTCCGTGCTTATGTGCTTTTGTACTTCTGAACGTTATTTTAATGCCTGTTCATATATATATGTATATACCATCAACCTGCCAGGGACTGCAGTTGAAAATTTGCCTGTATGGCTAAATCTGGCACATTTATGTGACTTAAGTGATCATGTTAATTAATGTGCACTGTCCCTTCTTAAATAAAATAAACGTAAACATTGTTTTGAGTTAGTATCCCTCAATGATGTTATCCATCGTGACTGAGCGATAAAGAGTATGGATTGTCAAAGGCTGTAACTGTACTCATTCACCTCATTATTGGACTTGGTATCTCATTATTTTGACTTAGCAAGTCATTATTTTGACTTAGTATCTCATTATTTTGACTTAGTAAGTCATTTTGACTTAGTATCTCATTATTTTGACTTAGTAAGTCATAATTTTGACTTAGTATCTCATTATTTTGACTTAGTACCTCATTATTTTGATTTAGTAAGTCACAATTTTGACTTAGTATCTCATTAGTTTTGACTTAGTAAGTCATAATTTTGACTGAGTATCTCATTATTTTGACTTAGTATCTCATAATTTTGACTTAGTAAGTCATAATTTTGACTTAGTATTTCATAATTTTGACTTAGTAAGTCATAATTTTGACTTAGTATCTCATTATTTTGACTTAGTAAGTCATTATTTTGACTTAGTATCTCATTATTTTGACTTAGTATTTCATAATTTTGACTTAGTAAGTAATAATTTTGACTTAGTATCTCATTATTTTGACTTATTAGATCTTATTTTTTTTCCATCAAGTGGCGGAAATGGGCTTCCATACCTTCCCCTTTTTACTAATGTTTCTTTTTTTTATTAATAAAACATAGTAATTCATATAAGAAGTAGGCAAACTGTGAATGAACATCCCTCAATTATTGATGATTAAGTGTGAACTAATCACATGAAGTCATAGTGACTTAATCATTCATTAAGGATTAGCAATGGGAATTCACAACAGCCAGTATTGATTCATGCATTAAGTCATCATGAGTGTTATCGATTTTGATTTTTACACTCTGATATTGCTACTTGCTATGAGTACAAAAACAAAAAACAACAAAAAAGACTTGCTATGAGTACTTCCTCCAGCACTGAGGGAGAATGTAGCCTAACGGCCTCACTGCGCGGTGTACTGGCCCTTTAATTGTTAAAAAAACAGAAAGAAGGACAGAGGATATGGACATGCGCGCTCCGCTCAGTGGAGACATAAATGCGTCAACTTTAGTTATGAGGAGTTGATTCCTGCATGTATTGTGTGTTTACAGGACATGGTAAGTAAATGAAACTTTTGACTTGTTGTAAAGTTGTGTGAAGAGAGACAGTGTGCCTGAATAAAGACTGTCGAGAGTGAGAGGAAGTTCATGGCGAACAGAGGAAACAGCAGGAAAACTGGGTTTGTGCAGAAAACAAGAACATAGCCTAGTTTGACAACACTGACAGGGAGACTTTGGTTATTCTCTTCAACTATCTGGGCCATTTAGTTTGGTTCAGTATTCAAGTCAATAGCCTACGACAGACAGTTGCTGGGTCGTGTGACGCCGCGGGCCGTCACACGACCGAAGTTTATTTCATATCTTTTTAATATTTACTGTAAGATAACATAACGTTAGATTAACTTGCTGTGTGCAACAACTGAATTAATTTTCTCTGCTTAAAACTGAAGCACTTAAACGTTACTGTCCTGTGACTGTGCTCTTCTCATGTCTGCTTATTGTTCCACACGTTTCCTTTTTTATTTATGTGTTTATGCACGAGTGTGGGCGCGCGTGCGTGCGTGTCGCCAGAACCAAAGTTATAGCCCTCCTTTTTAACAGTACCTACAATATCACGTGATATTATCAATAGCCTACAATAAGCTTAAAAGTTTATCAGATGTTTCTGAATTACAAATGATATACTGAGATTTTTTTTAGTAAACTAAAACGATTGTTCCTCGTTACCGCCCAGCAGTGTTACACTACTTAGGTAGGGTATTCGTAATTAAATATTGATTTACTATTGAGTAACTGATGTCCAACCCTGTCTATTTAATATCAATTAATCAAGGCCATATTAATTTGTCGATATTACTATAATCAAATGAAACTGTCAGTGTTTACATTGAGACCCACCAGCTTAGAAAGTCTGCTTTATGGTGAAATAATGTGTATTTATTTACTTATCTATGTATTTATTTATTTATACCTGTAATTATTTATGCGTTTATTTTTTCTGTATTTATTTACACATTTCTTTATGTAGCCTATTTTGTGTATTTATTTATTCAATCATACTATCATTTTTTATTTCAGTATTTAATTTTACATTTGTTATTACATTTTTGTTTATTTATTCATTTGTTTATTTGTGTATTTATTTATTCTTTGTTTTGTTGTTGTTTTTTGTACAGCGTCTAAGTATCCAGAGAAGCGCTATATAATCCAATGTATTGTTATTATTATTATTTTATTTTTTTTTTTTTACACAGATGAGAAATACTGCCATAATGGGGACAAGTGATCCCCACCTTTGGGACATTAAAATTATTAATTATTATGGGTCAGACTGAAGGAAAGCTGTGAAAATGAAGACCAAAGAGCATTCTCAGGAACTTAGAGATAATTTAGAGAAATTTTTTAAAAAAAAAAATACCAAATAATATCCAAGTGTTTGGGTATCCCAGTGAGCACTATTGCCTAGACAAGGCAAAAACTTTCCTCAATACATTGCAACTGAGCAGGAATGAGGGAAGTCACCAGAAATCAAACAGTCACTTTAAAGGTAGGGTCTGGAGGATTTTCCAGTTGCTGTTTGTAAACACACATTCAAATTTGGCCCCTCCTATCAGGCTCAACTCTCCCGGGTGTACGGAGCCCGGAGGTACGGAAGAAGGCTTCACAGAAGAGATTCAGGCAAGGCTCGCGCTGGTGCACGCTCGGACATGCTCGGACACGCTTGGGCACGGCACCTGCGCTCTCTCATTGGCTGGGGAAATCTCCGCCCAGAAGTGGTCCGAGCTCACAAAAACATCAAAATACAGTTAAAGGGCAGGAGCTCTGCAAACAGAGTCACCACCACACATGAGTAGAAGCCCATAGGTGATGATTAAGCAGGATTTCATTTGTATATGTCTATATTTTGTTTTGTTTGAAAATCCTCCAGATCCTACCTTTAAAGGAGCAGCAGAGATCACTGAGAGTGAAGTGAAGCTGCAGAAAGAGGCCATTACTCAAGAAAAAAACATAAAACACAGAGGGTTTGCCAGAGTGCACGAGAATGACCCAGCTCAGATGTGGGACAAGGTTTGGCCAATATTCAAAATGCTATGTGTGGTGTAAACTAGTGCTGCACGACTTGATAAAAATGTGCGATTTTGGTGGACAATATGACGTTGTCACGTAAATGACAAATTCCAGCATGTGAATAGGCCATAGCACAACACAGCAGCATGTCATGTGGGCCAAGCAAAATTGCTCAATTTTTCATAGTTTGTTATGGAGTCCGTAATTTTCCCTGTGTCTCTTTGAGGTCTTGTCGTATGGCGTGACACTTACGAATGTATGCGTAATTGTGCTTTGTTGTTGTTTTATGAGGCTCTGGTGGCTTTCAGTTGTCTCTTTGTCTTTAACGTTACTCGGCTTAACTTTCTCTCGCATGCATTCTTCATACTTTTCTCTGTGCTGTCTCAAGTGTTGATATAGACTGGTCGTGTTGCCGTGGGACATGGTGACTTTAACTTTTAAAGTTTTACACAGCAAGTCTTTCTGGTCAACATCACGTACCTGAATCCAAAGCATCACCATATAGGCGTTGGGTTATTTTTTGCCACCAACTCAGCCTGTTTTTGGTCTTGTTCATGCTCTTCTTCAGCGTCTATGTTGGTCACTGCTGCACGCCGGGTGGTCACCTGACCATACGTGCTGCACACACCAGGATAGCTTGTGGGCTTAATGTCAACAAACTCCAAACACTACAGGAAAGGTAGTCACGTCCACAGGCACATTCAACATTCATTTACATTAAATCGCAAATCGCAGCCTTTTATGCGGTTATGTAAGTGCACAGCCTGACATCGCAATTGCAACTGTGATTTCATTAATCGTGCAGCACTAGTGTAAACTGGCCATGCCCCAACAAAAACCATCCCCACAGTGAGTAATAGTGGCGGCAACACCAGTCTGTGGGGATGCTTTTCCTCATACAGGACTGTACATCTTGTTAAAATGTGGAGTGGACTGGAGTGTCTCTTTGACATGTCCTCACATTTGTGATGACAAGACAATTGATAGACTGGAGAAGGAAAGAGCTGGACAGAAATTGCTGCAGCCCCTGAAATCCCCAGCAGTACATATGCTATAGCTAGCTAGCTAACCACTGTAGGGGCTACTTGCAAGTTTATGTTAGCTAATGGAATATTTGCTAGCAGCCTATGAGCTAACTGTAGCTGGCTTCAAAAATTACATCATGTAAACATTTATATTATTGAAGTAAGAAATCCTCAGCTGAAATGTACGGGTAGCTTGTAGGCTATTGCAAACATTCCAGTAGCTAACGTTAGCCTACATGCAACCTTGTTTGAAGTGGGGAAAGCTAGCTAGCTAGCTATCTCATTTAGCATACTCACTGGGGATTTTGAGGGCTGCAACAATTTCTGTCCCCTTTTTTCTTTTTGAAGCTAACAATCTTGCAAATAGTGACTCTGCAAGATGCCTGGTTTTTGTAAAATCTTATTTTGTGACTAAAAACTCTGTGACTCATGACACATTGTCTTTAGATGTGAGAGGGTGTCAGACTTTATTTAAAAAGTTTTTCAAAGTACTCTAGTGCATGATAGACACTAATTACTTATGAAGCAGCATAGATTTTTTAAAAATACATGAAAATGCATCACACTTTACTTATCACCAACAATGAAACCTTATAATGAAGCATACATTATACATCAATGTTTGTCACTTTACTTAACACATACAATAATAAGTTATTATACTGCATGGACTATTATAACATATTATGAGTCATTACTGCAGTTGATTGTTGAGGTGTGTATTGGTGAGTTTAGGTATACATAATGCATTCTAAGCCCCATCAGTCAACCTCTGGTTTATAACTAGTCAAGAACATCCATAAGATACCTATTATTCAGAAGTCACAACTATAATGTTTTATGATTGTTGACATAGTGCATTAGGAAGCATTATGTGTGTTTATGAGTGCAGTCACACAGCATTATAAATGCATTATAATTTACCATGAATAGCTTTATAATGCATTATAGATATAGTCTTCATAGAAAGTGTTATGCAAATATCTGTAATAACAGAACAAAAATTGGCAGGTAATCACTAGCTATGTTTCCATCCAAAAGTGATTCGAATCACTGGGAAATGCGCATTAAAAGAAATACGAATCTTGTGTGTTTCCATTACATGTACGGACTTTGGTGAAAACTACGAACTCCCGCGGGTTTCCGCAGAACCGGAAACAAAACAAGTCTCGCATTCTTCTTCTTCTGCGTTTTCTGGCGGAACCTTGGCAACCAGCTTGTAAATGCATTACCACCTTCCCGACCCGGAGTGTGGATATCACCATGGAGAGAGGTGCGCTACGTCAGACTTAATTCGAACAAAACTATTTCCATCCCCCATTTTGCGAATCAACATTTTTTCGAATCAACCAAAACCCGGCTAAAGAGAGTGGATTTTAGTTTGTGCGAATCAGGGGATTTTAATTTGAATTTTGCCATTTCCATCATAATTTTCCGAGGCGATACTTCTAGATGCGCATCTAAACAGGCTGATGGAAACATGGCTAGTTTTATCTGTGGTTTTGCTATTGCTGTTTCCTTCTATTGTGCATTGTGTAACACCCTCTGTTGATGACACATCCCTGATTACAGTAGTTCGCCACAAAACTGGGCTGGTTCACTAGATTGCACCAAGGTTCGAAGAATCAGGTCTGAAACTGAAACCGGATCAAGAACCAGAGCTAAGTTGGTGGAAGAGTGATAAGAGAGATACAGCAAGAGAAGCAGGACAATGGCCATGAGCACAAGGCCAAAGCAACACAGGAGTGATAAACAATAAAAAGGTGAATGTTCTACAATGACCAAGTCCAAATCTCTATTCCAAACTCCAAACTCCATCCACAAGCAACAGCCAAATAACCCTAAACAACCTGGAGCAAATCTGCCAGTATGAATGAGGAAAAATGAACACTCACCCAAACAGTGTGCAGTGTGTACAGATACTTACCCCAAAAACAGTTAAAGCTGTCATTGCTGGTAAGGGTT